AGGATTCGTGAGAAGCTCATCATCAGGGATGTTTCCCAGACCGTCGCCAATAGCCCATTGTGCAGCTCTAGTGCGACGTAAATTAACAACAACAACAACTTGGTGGGTCTCACTTTGCAGTCAATGGTAGCTGGTTCGAATCCCACTCAAGACATGAATGATCATCTCCGTGTTTCGTCCTCTGATGGGAGATGTGTGAACATGGCTCACCCTATATATGGATCTTATGGTAGTGTGGCGTAGGTAATATTGCTCAACTCCGTGATTTAGACTCACAGGTGGCCACCAGGTAACGTTAAATGAGCAACAGTTCCGGCATCTTCCGAGGCTAAGAATGAAAAGTACAATGACTGCAGTTAGAAAAAAAATTGGTCCTGAAGGGGACTGATCGTTAAGACACGGTTTCCAACAGATCACCGAAGTCAAGCATCACTGGCAGCGGTGAGTGTGAGGGTGGGTGTTCACTTTGATCAGAATGCGATGGGACGCGGCATTGGACCACGTTAAGCTGATCTACCGAGAAGTGCTCAAATTCGCGAGCAAGTCACCGGGATACCGCAGCGGGGGTGCCATCTCCTCTGCAGGGGATCAAAATTGGGGTGGCATGTCCTCGAATCATCCTCAGGGATACTTTCCAGACCGTCGCCGACCATTGAGCAGCCCTAGTGCGACGTAAATAAATTACTACAACAACTGAAAAAAATTGCTGGAGGGATTTACTCCTTGAGTTTGTTCATTGTTGTTGTAGTTGTAGTTCATTTACGTCGCACTAGAGATGCACAATGGGCTATTGGCGACCGTCTGGGAAACATCCCTGTGGATGATCCAAAGATATTCCATCACAATTTTGATCCTCTGCAGAGGGGATGGCACCCCCTCTTCGGTAGCCCAAGGAACGAGCACTTTCCGGTAGAACAGTTTAACGAGGACCAATACCACACACCCTCGGTTCCTACGTAGACTAATCCAAGTGGTCACCCACCCGCTCATTGACCGCAGCCAGTGATGCTGTGACCTCGGTGATATGTTGAGAACCGTGTCTTAACAATCAGGCCACTGCGGGACTGAGCTTGTTCATAGTTTCCGGATTAAAACTCTTATTAAAACGATTATTGATTGGAATATCTAGATAGGGGTGGGCATCGAGGCCTCTGAACCTATATCTTTGCAGGCTCATCTGCAACGTCATATCACCCTTCGTCCACCAGGGTACATTCTACTAGTCTGAATTACCTGTTGGGGCTATATGGCAAAAGTGTAGCGAAAATGTGCGTTCATACTTTGATGAAAGTAACTATTTTTTCACATCTGTAAACTGTCAACCGACTTTTTCTTTTTTTCTATGAATTTCATACTTACGGACCTTATATAATTATAAAGAATTGAGGATTTTCTACACATTAAGTTGTGCTCAAACACTTAAATTCGGTTTGCTAAACACTTATTCTTTAATAATAAATCATGTATGCATGTTTGAATTGTTAATTGTTTTCCTGGTAGATAAGACAAACATTTGAAATTAAAATTTGTTCGTTAACAATAAGTGTTACAACCGAGAATGAAAAATAAATTTTCAATGACTTCAAAAGTTGGCACCGAAGTTATTTTTTCTTCTCATCAATATTTTGTTTAAAAAATTATGGTGCTAATTCTTAAATATAATAAAAATATATGCTGTGAAACAGATACCTGTGGTATCAAGCTAGTAGCAGTGTGTGAGATTTTGGTTGCCGGCTGGTCGGCCATGTTCGATTCGCCAGCCATAGTTTTCTGCTCCCTTCCAAAGAGGGATTTCTTTTACAGTTAAATTTACCATTAAAGTCCTATGCAAAACTGTACCCACAGTGAACTGATCATTAAGACACGCTTCCTAGCAGATCACCGAAGACAAGCATCACTGGCAGCGGTGAGTGTGCGGGTGGGTGACCACTTGGATTAATCTGTGTAGGGACCGAGGATGTGCGGTATGGGTCCTCGTTAAACTCTTCTACGATAAAGAGCTCGACTTCGCGTGAAGGTCGTTGGGCTACCGAAGCGGGGGTGTCATCCCCTCTGCAGAGGATCAAAATTGTGATGGCTTGTCTTCGGATCATCCTTAGGTATGTTTCGCAGACAGTCGCCAACAGCCCATTGTGCAGCTCAAGTGTGACGTAATTAAACTACAACAACAACAACAACTATAACCAAAGAACAGTATAATTCGCTAGAACTCTCCTATAATTATCGATGCACATCCAAATGTACATAACATCTAGATTCCAGATAGCTTATTGATCTTAGAACAAAGTCCTTGCTAAAAATGGATTTCGATTCAAGAACACTCGGAGAGTTCTGGTCTTCTGTGAAAGAAGCCTACCCATTGCTTGCAAAGTAAGCTATGGCAGCTATAATTCCGTTTGCTGCAATGTATCTTTGCGAAACGAGATTTTCCACACTTGTGACGATAAAAACAAAACATCGAAATCGATTGAATATTGAACATGATATGCGCGTTGCTTTGTCGAAAATCTTCCCTCAATTCAATTTATTAATTAAGGAAAAGCAGCAACAGTCTTCACATTAAAAATTTAATTTTAAAAATTTTGGGAACTATTAAAATAATAAAATTAAATGTTTTCTAGTAATTGATTTTTGTCGCAATTATTTTTTTTCACAAGGGGGTGGTCCGTGACTTCTTAAAAAAATTTAAAAGGTGTCCTTTATACCAAAAAGGTTAAGAAGCACTTATCTAGAGGAAAGTTCGTACTTAAGAAGGAGGCTGGAAAATTTGTCCAGGTGCCCGGGTCTGTTGCAAGAGTCTTGTAGAAATTCCATAAAAAAATTAAATACTTTTTAATTTTTTCAAAATAGCGGAGCGTTTTTAACGTTTCCATTGGTTAGATGAAGAATATTTTACACTTATTTTATATTAGTGAAAATATAAACAAGCAAACATTTTGTTTTCAGTTAAAATAAGCAGGGAAATATTGTAAATTAAAATTTCAGTTTATTTTTGAAAATTGATATTTTAAAAATCTAATTTAAACCANCTCAAGGAAAGAAATCTATGCTGCTTAAATCAGAAGACCGTGGTGGCTAGGAAACCGGTCCACCACTGCCTAGTGGCGAACGAAGACATGCCCTGCCAATCTG